GCAATGGTATTAAGACAGTCCATGGTTCAAGTTAGTTAGACTGAAGCTACTGAAATAAGGAAACCTGTTGTATCTATCAGGGATCTCAGAGGAGTTAGGCTTACCTTGTGCTCTGCTCAACCCATCGTGATTACATATTTACCTGCCCACACTGGTACCTTCATCCCTGCAGCCACGGGAACCGTACCCTTCAATGGACTAAGATCTTCTACTCCTCATGCGGATTACGTTGCTAATACTGAATACAGTTTTTGATTAGATATTTCAGGGATACTCATGAGAAAAGATAGGTTATGATTCACTTTTCTTTTTACCACTGGCCTTTGAAAGGGTTAGAGAGTAAGGAAATACTGCCCTGGGAGCTCACAAATAATACTAAGGACTATATGCTGAATTCTTATATTATCCGAAGCACTTTGAGGAACGCCTCACATAAACTCTTGATTTTTACAGTAACCTGTAAAGTGGGTGTTGTTATTCTCATTTTGTAGATAAGGAAGCTGGGGGCCAGCAAGGATAAAAAGTTGCTCAGGGTCCCATAACTGGCAAAATACAGAAGCAGACTTAGTTTTTCTGCCCTCTCCAGTAGTTTAAAACAGGATGGCAAAGTTAGATGCCTTTATGAGTGGAAAAAATGAATAACATCTTAAGATATGTTTTATAAGAAGCAGCATCAATCAAGTAAACCTGTATTTTTGTGTTTTGTTTTTTTTTTTTTTGTAATGGGTAAGAAAGCCCTCACTGGGATTCTTTAAACAGCCAGTACAAATAACAAAGCTCTAGTAACTAGCTACATGCTTTCTGTGTTAGGTAGTAAATAACTTGCTGTATTTGGAGTTGCACTAGATTAGAAGGTACCTAAAATTCTAACCAAGAACCTAGAAGTTGAAATGATGTCGAATTTTCCACTCGGACAAGTAAGGTCACCAAGAAAAGTCCTACCTGGAGGGCTGTACGATTAACCAGGCAAGGGGAATTCTGCCATATCTGCCTTCCTTCGTGCCAGTGGGTGGGGTTGAAAGCAAAGTTCCATATAAAGGCTTGTTTATCAGAGATGACGAAAGTAAGAAAGGAAGAAAAAATGTTTCTGTGTCTGTTGCAAAAGGGCAGACGGAATCCCTCAGATTCAGTTTGGGCTTAATTGAGTTCTCCTAATTGTTGGGGTCTTGACTTTTCCATGACCACACTAGGAACAAAACAGAACAGTGTTAACGTGGACTCAGGAGACTTAGAAGATGTTCTCTTATAACTTGGTTCTCTTTTGTCAGTATTAAGGTTTCATTTGGCACCTAGGTGGTTCATTCCATGATACATGAAGAGTTGGCTGGATTATAGTTCTTTGTGTTTTAGTCACAGAAATATATGCTGTTGTTTATTCAAACTAACTAGTTTAGTTTGAAAGGCTAGGGTGTTTATTTTCCTTCCAAAAGGGCATGGTTTTAATGAATTTGGGGCAACTGTTCACTTTGGTAAATTAACACATGAAATGCTAATTGTTTTATAGCTGCACTAAAGTCAATCTTTTGCAACTTTCAGGGCCTGTAATTCAGTGTTTACAGCATTAGACCACTGTCACGAAGCCATAGAAATTACAAGCGATGACCATGTGATTCAGGTATGGAGACACTTTTTGTCTGGAGATGTCTCAATAGAACCTTTCAAGTTTGAGCCATCCTTTTTTCAAGGGACTTTGCAATAAGCCTTACATTTTTGTATATTTTCTTTGGAGAAAGGAGCATCAGAGTATGTAAAAAAAAACAAAACAACTGATGGGCTTAGTTTAAGAAGTAGATAGCCAATAAGAATAAAAAATTAGTTAGATTAGAACCTGTGCTTTCTTTGACCATTTGTAAAAGACAGCATTTACATGACACAGAAGTATGTCAGAATTATAGAGTAAATGCTTATAAGGGGGGGGTGCCTCTGGGAATGAAATATTTCAGAGGTACTCATTTATTTGCCTACAGTTGGTATTATAATCATAGAGCTGTCTTGTATGGTAAAGTTATCTTCTGAAGAAAGTGGGTATAGTAGACAAACCTTTATTGCAGTAAAGTCATCTCACTATGTTTGTTGGAAGGTAAGACGTTTACACTTAAACAATATTCTGAAATGTAGACTTTACCACCAGTAGATACCGGCCTGCCTGCAGTTAGTTTGCATAATGGCACTGAGTTTACATCTGGAGCAATTCCGGTCATCAGCATAAACCAAAGACAGTGCCCCATGACAGAGCCCCCACTCTACACAGACAAACCCTGCTCCCGTACCCAACCAGTAACGTCAGCAGCCTGCCCTGCCTAGGCCCCGTCATAAACAGGTCCATAACGTTACCTCCTTTCCATTCAGTAACTCCGTGAAAGAGAGTGCCCCATAATACAGATGGGGAAACTGAGGCCCAGCAAGGTCAAGGAATTTACTCCAGGAAAGCCCCAGTAGTAAGTATTGGAACGAAAATATGTAGCCATGTCTTTCTGACTGCAGAGCCTGCCTTCCTGGTTCCCTGTTGGACTGTCTGTATAGAATTTTCTGGCTGTTCCGTGAAGTGGGTCTGGAAGCTTCTTCATGTTGCTACCTGTTACTGCCCACCTGCACACACACAGGTCTGTATCCTGGACCGCAGAGACACCAGACCTGTTTGCTACCAACCAAGTACACATCTCGCATTCCCCTCACTTACGTGCAGACAGGACCGATGAATTCCGTTCATGAAACACATTTGCTTTGCACCCCGCTCTGAGAGTGGGCAGCCGGGCTATGATTCCCATAACGAGAGGAAGGGGCTCCCTGCTCTCGCTGCCTTCCCCGTTGGTAGTCTTAACTGATGACTCCTTGAACAGGGAGCAGAGCCCGTCCATCTATAGTGAGCATTCTAAAGTGGTTAGAAACCCTGTATCTCTGGGGGAGGTACTCTGGTGGTGTCATCCCCTCCCCCCCCTTTACGGTGAACAGGAAGAAAGGGACTATCCCCCTTTAAAATCTACTGGTGATCTAAAGCAAGGAGAAAGAAGTTGAATAGAGGATGTTCTGTGTAAGGGGAAGTAAAATGACATCTGGGTTATGGATTTCAAGAAGAGTCCTCCTGGACAGGATATTTCACAGACGTTCTTGCACCATACCAGAGTCCTTCTCAGGGCACGGCCCCTGAAGAGTGTGTGCCTAGGGGGTAGCACTTAACTTCAGGAACAATCTTTACCTATTCATCCCTCCATCTAAACTATTTACTTGACGACATTTACACGAAGCTGACCATGTGCCAGGCACAGTCCTCACTCAGCATTTTAGATATTCTTATTTATTTCTTAAAACCATTTTATGAACCAGGCACTACTGTTGCAGCCATTTTACAGATGAGGAAACTGAGAACCAGAGAAGACAAGTAACTTGCCCACAGTCATGGAGCCGGTAATTGGCAGAGCCAGGATTTGCACTTGAGCGCATTGGCTCCAGAGTCAAGGTCCTGGAGGACCTGCTGTGTTCTGAGGTTACAGCAACCCTAGCATGAGCAAAGGGCCCTGACTGCTACCTATGTTTTCAATTTAATAGCGAAGGTAGACTAAACAGACAGGAAAATGTATGAGGATTTAGCCAACAAGGAAAACAGTACATATATCACGTATTTACTAAACAGCCCTGCTTATCCAGGGATAAATCCAAAGTAGGCTTGTCCTTGAGGATTTTTATGTCTAGTCGGGGAGAGAGATAAATAAAAACTGGGATTGGGCATGAGAAGTCACTGGAAGCCCGCACAGGAGAGAGTGGGAGCTTGTAGGAGTGGTACCAGCTCGGACTAGGCTGGGGGTCAAGGATGGCTTGCTAGAGGAGGGGAGGGACAAATCAGACTTGGCAAGGCATGGAGATGGGCAAGGGCATTGTAAGTGGAGAGCATGTGGGCAGAGGCCCTGAGGTGAGAGGCCATGCTGCCCAGCCCCAGAAGGGTGGTGCCCCCCACACGTAGGTGATGGGAGAAGAAGACATGAAGACAATGTCACCACCCCTCCTCTTTTCTCACTCCTGCAAGGCTGCCTGCTAAGGCTCCAAAGCAACCTCCCAACCCCTCCAGCTCCTGGATTTCATGGCGTCAGTAAAGCTTTGTTCTCAAGGGACTAGCTCCCTGAGTGTCCCTGCATCACCGGGCTCCTTACTGCTGTCCTCGTAGTGGAGTGCAGAAGTGACTGTGATTATAGTTTGCAAGAATGTGTCTGAAGCAGCAGGTGGATGTGCATGATGCCCAAAAAATCCATGACCTAGAGGCCATATGGTCCCATTTTCCCCATGTTGTTTCGTTCCCCTCATTCAGCCTCTCATCCGGTGATTATTCTTTGAGAAGAAATTGGAGGCTGGAGTTGGGAGCTGGGAGTCAGGCAAGGAAAGAGCTCTGAATTCCAGGGCCCCAGGCAGAATTTTGGAAAGAAACCTGTTAGTCTGCTGGCCTCGGAATGTGCTAAGGGGGCCTCGTCTCGCGCTCATGTGTGCCCAGCGCTGAAAGGGCTGCTTTCTGCCCAAACTGTTTAATTAGATTTATTGTTCAGATGATCTGGGAAGTGGCCCCAAGCCATAGCGTTGGTTAGTAGATAGTGGCAGTTAGGAGGCATGAGAGATCAAATCTCAGCCTTGCAGAGGTGTAACTAAAATAAACCCACAACCTGTTGAACTAAGTAACTTTTGTTCTAACTGATTTTTATTTTTTGAGTTTTTTATTTCATAAAAACTTCATTTCATTGAAGATGAATAAGGCCCACACGAAGCTGGCTCTGCTAGATGAGGGCTTCTTGCTCTTGGTCTGCTAAGGAATTTCTTCCAGGGTCCCAGAGGGAACCAGGGTGCAGGCGTGCTGAAGGAATACATAGCTGCTCAGGAGTGAGGCAACTGCTCTGGGGAGCGTAGTGATGAGGAGCAGTTGGCACCCACATCAGAGAGTGCTCGCTCATCCAGGGAACTTCTTACTTGATAGTCCAGTGTGTCCCTCTGTGTGCCAGCAAGCACTCCTGGGGGCACACAGCATTACCCACACTGACCTATAACCACCTCCTGTTCACAGTACGTCAACCCAGCCTTTGAAAGGATGATGGGCTACCACAAAGGCGAGCTGCTGGGGAAAGAGCTCGCCGATCTGCCCAAAAGTGATAAGAACCGGGCCGACCTTCTCGACACCATCAACACCTGCATCAAGAAGGGCAAGGTCGGTGAAAGAGATCTGTAAACCCCTCCCCGATGCTCCCCCCCCCCCCCGCCCCGTGAGCTCTATGTCATGTCTTTAGGATTAGCTCCTTTCCTAACAGGATAAATAAGTGAACGATCTCTTGTATTTGCAAAATGAGTCAATTGCTGGGTTAATTTTGGATACCAAATGAATGTGCTCCTTACAATGCTGTGGAATCTGATGAGTTTGCAACAGGAGAGTTTATCCTTGGGGTGAAGGTATCCCACCCGTCATTGCTGCAGTCTCATTCCTGGCTCTGAGCAGAGCTCCCCCATATAGCTGTCGTGTTGTTAGTGTGCCCAGTGTTAGGGGGGACTCGAAGTTTGTGATACCAGTATTTACATGTGGGCCCAGTTCTTGGTCAGTTTTCCTCTCTCTGTTCCCTGTCCGCACCACAGCTGGGTAGAGACCTACGGCTCGCTTCTCCCTGTCATGTCCATTTGTCCAGCAGCTGAAGGCAGGGCTGTGAGTGCAACAGGCTCCTTTCCTCAAGCCCTCCCCTGCAGAGGAAGGATGTGGCTCCTGCAGTGCGTGCTCCCTGTGCATTTTCTTTTAGGCACTCAGAATGCTTGCTCATACGACTTCTTTCATCTTGCTTTCTCTGATGTGAAGTAGTTAGATAAGCACTATATTATTTTCATTAGGGACCACTTTTTACGAATCAAATAAGTTTGGGTTTATATGATAGGCAACATCAATTTCTTAAAAGTAGGGACAGCAAGCCTGAAATGGAATCAGGACATTATCAAGTACTCTTAAAAAAAAAAAAAATTGGCCAGGAGGGTACTACCACGCACCTGGCGACCCCAGTATGCACACCAGCGAGCCGCTCTTGGGAGGGGGCGCCAAGAAAAGGCTGTCTAGAAAATCCGGTTCTCGTTTTTTCCCTCCCTCCCAGAACTGGTGGAGGTGCCACGAGACCTATCCCTCTTGAGGGCATAGGCTCTTCATCCCAGCAGGCTCCCCGGGGTCCAGAGGCAGCCAGAATGTTCATACTCCTCTTTGCTTGATCCATGGAAACTGCCAGGAGCCAGACTAATGCCAGAGAAGTCTTGGTAGGATGCCCCATAGGAGAGTAGGGGAGGACAGGTTTCAAGGGGAATTGAGAGACAAGAATTTAGAACCACATTCACCACTTCCTCATGCGGGCAAATTGGACTCTCTGAGTCTCGGCTTACCTGTCTATAAACTAAGGATGACATTATCGAGCTCAGAGGTTGCTGTGCAGATTTTAGGGAAGACCCTTTAAGAATCCCTTGACTTGGGGCTGCTACACCCACAGACTGAGCGTGGCAACTCCACTACTCATCAACTGTCCTTGGACCCTGGGAAGGCCAGCCTGGAGGTGGACACGTTGGTCTTTGGGGACTTTGTGCATGGTGACCGCAGTCTTGGGTAGTAAGCATCACAATGGGTGCAGTGATAGAGCAGTATTTAGTGGAATGGTATTGCTCAGCTTGACGAGACCCTCTCTAGAAGCAGCCATAAGCTTCGATGGAAGGATTTTAAGAGCTCTCTTTGTCTATGTAGGAGTGGCAGGGGGTTTACTATGCAAGACGGAAATCCGGGGACAGCATCCAACAGCACGTGAAGATCACCCCAGTGATTGGCCAAGGAGGGTGAGAGTGAACTTCTTGATCTCTTTTAGTTGAAGGGCTCCTGTGGGCACTGGGTTTGCAGATTGAAATGCCGGCGTAAGCGCTAGGCCCCCAAATACGGTGGGTTGGGGCTGTGCATAGCATATACCGCGGACTATTCCACATGGTTGGCAACAGCCCCCAGACGTGGCTTTCCCTCCCCCTCTCTGCTCCTATTGATGGGCTTTACAAAGCATCTCCCCAGCTGCCCACCTTCACCTGATCATCTGTGGTTCCATTATCCCCACTACCCCCTGAAGGAGCTGTGTTTAGGCCTTCCCCTGTCAAAATAACAACAAAACAACAGGGCTCGCTGGCCTCAGCCCTGCCCTGGGAGCCAGGCTTCTCTCCTTGACGCACTGGCTCTGTAGTGGTTCTCTCCGGGCTGGCTCTGGGCTTGTTCCCCAAGGCAGAGAGAGCCCTGGAGGTCATGGTTACGTAGAGAAAGGTGTGTTTGACTAGAACCTGAGGTGATCTGATTTCATTTAATCTCAGATTATCAGAGAAGCCTGTTCAAGAAGGTAAATACGTAATCTCTTTTCCTCCTCCCAGTTCAATTTTGTGAGAGGGTTTACAAAGGCAAAGAGGATCCCCAAACAGTATGTCACTGAGGAGCCTTTAGTAAACTGGCTTGAAGGTCAACACTAGCTTCATAGCACAGTTTACAGCGGACACATGCTGTCCTGTGATGTTTTGGAAGAAGAGGTATGAGTTTTTCAGGCCAGTAACCGGAAGTGGAAAGTCCTGCCTGTGACTTTTAGGACTACCTGAGTTCCTTCCAGATTGCTGGGTGGTTAGAAAACAAAACATTCTGTAAAGTGAGCAAAATGCCTGGAAGTCATTTCCTCTCCCATTTTACTTGTTTGGTAAGTTTTGAAATTGTTACCCCTCGGTTCAGAGACCACTGTCTTGTATTTCCTGGCATTTAGCTTCCCTCTGGGTGGTGGGGCCCTGGCAGTCCTGACAAGGGTTATGAGCACAGAGAGAGACCTCCAGGCCCCCTTGGCATGGCCATTTCCACCAGCGGTCCGCGCTCAGAGGCCATGATGGCTGTCACATTGGTGGTATTATCATCCTTAGACCGTCTTTTCAGAAAACTTGAGTTAAAATGGACTGTGTGTGTGTGTGCGTGTGTGTGTGTGTGTGTGTGTGTGTGTGTGTGTGTGTGTGTGTGACCAGAATTCTTAGGTAACCAAGGCAGAAGAGACCCTATTGCTTGGAATTTCTGTCAGAATGAGTTTTTCTGATCTTTCTGATTTTACAGATTAAGAGAGTTCTTTTGTCTAGACACAGTGCTATTTTCCCCCAGTTGTAGGCAGTGTACTATCAGGAAATTCTTTTGAAAAGTAGATAAATCTCTTCTCTTCCCAATTAGTGAAGCTCATTACAGAATAACTGGTATTTTCTATGCTCTCTTCAGGGTCTTCTGGAGAAGGTTGAATCAAAGGAAGAGAGACAGAGAGGAGCTTCTTTCCTATTCCTATAAAATCTCACATAGCCCCCTGGAATTCCTGGTTCCACTGTCAGTAGAAAGATCTACCTTGAACTGATTTTTATGCCGGGCTGAGGCAGCTATAGTCTCTTTTGGTCTCTCTTGTGGTCATGAGCTAGACTATAGGCTGTTTGGGGATTCTGTCCATAACCTTGAATTAAGACGAGTTTTCTCTGCCTGAAAACTGGCATCATTGTGATGACCATGCTGTGAAAGAATATGGAATATTAATGTAAACACAGCGACCATGTAATTTGGTCATTGTCCAAATGAGTCTTCTGCTTTTTATATCAGCTGTAAAATTATTAGTGTCAGTGGAATTAAAACCAATTTTGTCTGGAGTAGCATTTCATCCTATCACTGAAGATACCTAGGAGACAAGCTTCAGGAATCTGTTGCAAGATGAAATACCCATTAGGAAAGTGCTTCTGAGCCAAATGTGACTAAAAGGGAAGCCTGGTTTCTGAAGGCATGTGTGGGCTCTGTATGAAAAATGGGTTTTCCGTAGACTACGTTTTGTTTGAAATTTAAATCTGCCCAAGAATGGACCCTGGGGTTTTGCTTTAAGAAATTCTGTTGATGTTTTCATTTGCTGATTTGTTGAATCATCTCCTGTCTGACTCACTAATAACTGATCATTTCTGTTATTAGGAAAATTAGGCATTTTGTCTCCCTCAAGAAACTGTGTTGTACCACTGACAATAATAAGCAGGTATGGTATTCAGTTTCCTTCCTTCGCTTTGTCAGCTTGACCATGCGTTACGTTCTCATCACTGTTTTCTGCTTGTCTTTCTCCATAGCTTACTGTAGTTGTCAGTTTAGGAGGTTTATGGCAAAATTAGACTCCTTTAACAAATAGTTAAAAAAATGTCCTGCCAGCTTCTGCTTTATTAGTAATGCACATCAGTTATGATTTAGCTTGTGGCCATGCAACTAAAGACTAATACAATAGAGCATAAAATTCTTCTTCCAAATAAAAACCGTTTTATTTTTTCTATCTTACTTTCTTAAATGAATGAAAAGCATATATGTGTTTGAGCATTTCACTCCTACAAATTCTTATCAAAAACAATCGTTCCAAATTAGTAAAAGTTAGTACTATGAGCACTATTTGTTTTTACCATTTACATCATGTAGAACAACACATTAGAATCTTGTTTTCAGAGTAACAGAATTTTAATAAGTTGCTATGTTGAAGAACATTTAAAGATAGTTTTATCAGAGAGAGCAATGCTGATAGTGGTATATTTTCTTTTTTAATTATACTTCTAATACTGGATTATGTGTATTTTCATGCTTTAAAGTTTATTGGTTAAAAGGTGCTGAAGTAATTACTAGTGATCTATGTTTGAAAACACAAGTACGACCTTTGATATATATGGAGATTTTAAAAGAAGGGATAATATCTTAAAAGGATATGAAGGTCTTTGGGGCATAATACATTTTAAGGGAGCATGTTGGGGAGTTGGAGAGTGTGGGATTAGATGGTGGAGGCTGGCCAGGCAAGGAGAGGAACTGCTGAGTGATAGGACCAGTGGACACCTGGGTGCCCCCACCTTGAGTAGGCAGCTGCCAGAGGGGAGGTGGGCCTGGGTGCCGTGAGGCCATGCAGGACGTTCAGCTGGGGTCTCAGTCCATCGAAGGTACCCACGCCTCATCCTTTTTTTTTAAATAATGATTCAGTACTTGTATATATTGCAAAATGATCACTACGATAAGTCAAGTTAACATGCATCACTAGACATGATTATAAAATTTTTTTCTTATAATGAGATCTTCTTTTGAGACCTATTCTCTTAGCAACTTTCACCCCAATTTACATTAGTGTTAATGAGTCACTGTGCTGTACGTTATATCCCCATGACTTACTTGTTTTATAAGTGGAAATCTGTACTTTTGACCCCCTTCACCCATTTCCCTCCCCACCCCTCTGCCCCCACCCCGCCTCTTGCAACCAACCTGTTCTCTGCATCTATATGATTGGTTTTTTGTTTCTGGTTTCGGTTGTACATGTAAGTGATACCATATAGTATTTGTCTTCCTTCATCTATCTTACTTCACTTAGCATAATGACCTCAAGGTCCATCCATGTTGTCGCAAATAGCAAGATTTCCTCCTTTCTCATGGCTGAATAATGCTCCATTGTATATATTTTCCACATTTTCTTTGTCCATTCATCCATCAGTGGACACTTCGGTTGTTTCTGGGTCTTGGCTGTTGTAAACTATGCTGCCATGAACCTAGGAATGTGTATATCTTCTTGAGTTAGTGTTTTCCTTTCCTTTGGATAAATGTCCAGGAGTAAATTGCTAGAATATATGGGAATTCCATTTTAAATTTTTTGAGGAACCTGCACAGTGCTGTGCCAGTATATATTCCCACCAACAGTGCATGAGGGTTCCCTTTTCTCTGTATCTTAGCCAACACTTGTCATTTCATATCTTTTTGATACCAGCCATTCTAACAGAGGTGAGTTGATACCTCATTGTGATACTGATTTGCATTGTCCTGATGACTAGTGATGTTGAGCCTTTTTGCATGTACCTGTTGGCCATCTTTATGTCTTCTTTGAAAAAATGTCTATTTAGATCTTCTGCCAATTTTTAAGTCAGATTTTTTTGTTTTGTTTTGCTGTTGAGTTGTATGAGTTCTTTATATATTTTGGATATTAACCCCTAACCTGATATGATTTGCAAGTATTTTTTCCCATTTGGTAAGTTGCCTTTTCATTTTGTTGATAGTCTCCATTGCTGTGCAGAAGCTTTTTAGTTTGATGGTAGTCTCAATTATTTATTTTTCTTTTGTTGCATTTGCTTTTGGTGTCATACCTGAAAAATCATAGCCAAGACCGATGTCAAAGAGCTTAGTCCCTGTGTTTCCTTCTAGGCGTTTTATTGTTTCAGATAATATATATGTTCAAATATTTCATCCATTTTGAGTTGATTTTTTTCTGTATGGTCTAAGATAATGGCCCAGCTTTCATTCTTTTGCATGTGGCAGTTAGGTTTTCCCAGTACCATTTATTGAACAGATTATACCTTCCCCATTGTATATTGTCGGCTTGTCATAAATTAATTGACCACATATATGTGGGTTTATTTCTGGGCTCTCTATTCTGTTCCGTTGATCTATGTGTCTGTTTTTATGCCAACACCTTACCGTTGGGATTACTGTAGTTTTGTGATGTAGCTTGAAATCAGGGAGCATGATGCCTCCAGCTTTGTTCTTCTTTCTCAAGATTGATTTGGCTATTCACAGTATTCTAGAACAGCAAAGGGAAACGTGCTTTTTCTTAAGATTTAGTCCAACATAAAATGCCTCTTTCAACACTGAGAATTTCGTCGAGAATCAGGAAGCTTTCACTTAATATCGTTGTCACATAGTAGAAAGGCAAGTCCTCGGGGACCTCTGGGAAAGGAAGGGACTTGACTTTCATAGAAAAACAAATTCTCCCAGCAGCAAAGTTGACACATTCCAGGAGGAAGGATGAGGTCTACGTGGGAGGTGACATGGGTAGAGGGAGAGGTGTAGGGCATCTTGATGGCTCTTTAGAGACGAGCTACTGAACCCAAGCCGTGCAAGTCAACCTGTGACGGGTGGTGAAGCTGCTGTACAGTATGCAGGCCCACTTGGGCTCATTCATGCTCATGCCAGGAGTGAGCCAAGTACAGTTCATGTCCAAAATCAAGCACAGCATTCCCCTACCAACCTAGGCTTGCTCCTCCTCCTTCCTCTCTTTATCGGTCAGTTGGACCCCCAGTTTCCTTGTCACCAGTCTCCCTGCAACCACGTGTGCCCCAATTCTACCCATCCTTTGTGGTCCCTCCCAAGTAGTGTCGAGTGCCATCCTCATCCTCCAACCCCCAAGTACCTTCTTTGCTGGGTATCACTCCCACCGTTACCACGGCCATTCGTGTGCCTAACTGCCCTCTCCTCTCTGGTGGGGTCACCAGCCTGTGCTTGTCTCAGTGAGCCCATCCTGCCTGGGGCAGCGTAGGTCCTGCAGCTGTGGGTCAGCTTGAATGGAATTGCATGTCAAGGTCCTGGCTTCCTGCCCCCTTCAAACCCTTCCTGCTTCACAGAGAAAGGAGGCAATCCCTTAGTACAGGACTTAGGGATGCAGCATCACAGGGCCACCTCTTTTCTGATGCTCTAAATAGAAATGTCTTTATTGCCGTGAATTAGCTGCTGTTCTGAGAAGAGTGGAAACGCAGAGCTCAGATACCTGAGCCATTGACGTCACCTAATGGTGCTGCACAGGCCTGGACAGACACTTAGATTTTCCAGTAACAAAGAATTTTTATGTCTCTGGCTAGCCACAGTGTTTTTCCTCCTCATCTAAGGAGGCTGAAGTGAACGGTGATGGGTCTGTGACGGGAAGGGCTCCCCAGAGGGTGGGAGCAGCCTGTCTGAAGGCGGTTCTGGCCGCACTGCTTTCTGGGGTTTAGCCTTGACGTCAAGATCCGCCCATGGGTTTGCATTTTAACAAGGAATGAAATTGTAAGCCAGGGTGCTATCTTCTGGTAGTGCCTGTCATCAGCAAAAATCCCTTTTCCTGGGTGAACCTTGTAGCTTTTTGCCAAGGGGCTGGAAGTGCTCAGGGAGGTTTGGTGGCTGTAAACACCATCTTCCACCACACACACTTGCTCCCCAAATATGCCAGGGATGGTCTCTGCCCTAGAAGCCATGGGGGTCATGGACAGATCAACAGGGTACATTTCTAGAGCATGGTGCAGGGGAGGTAGGAACCGAGAGCAGGAGAAGCACAGAACACAGGACCAAAGGAGACTGACTAGAATTTTTTTAGGTGTCATCTAAGACAAGGGGCAACAAATGATAGCCTCCAGGCCGAATGTGGTCGGTTTTGTATGTAAAGCTTTATTGGAATAGAGCCACACTTTGTGATGTCATGGTCCCTTTCCTACTTCAGCAGCAGAGAAGTTACTGCAGACACTGTGGCTCACAAAGCCTAAGATGTTTACTCTCTGGCCCTTCACAGAAAAAGTTTGCCAACCCCATTTCAAGAGGATAATTTTCTTTTTGGACTACCCACTTTGCTAGGCCCGGGACAGTCCATCTGGCACCCCAGAAATGGCCCCCTCCGTGCACACACACACTTCTTTTGGCCCTTTGTTCGTGCCACCCCTGTACCCTGGTGCAGAGCCTGTCTCAGCCCCTTTAGACCCATAATACATGAGGACCTGTACCCTTCAGGCTTTTGCCTTTTTGTGAGGTCTAAATCCAAATCCAAATGCATGACTCAAAGTGGAATTTCAGGGACCTGCTACCATGGTCCAGGAGTCAAGCTCGTACTGGGAAAGGAGACTTCTAGATCCTGACTCCACACCAGCTTCTCCTAAGCTGGCCTGGTCAAAGCAGAGGGGCCTTCCCACTGGCGTCCCTACAGTGCCCACCCTTAGTGCATCTCCCATTCTCGCTTTTTCCTCCAGGCCTCGGGCATGGGAATATGGAGAGCACCGCTCTCCCAAAAGCCAGCATGCCAGGCGCAGGTGTGGAGCCTGGGTAGAGAGTACAGGAAGCCAGTGGGCAAGAGGGCGGTGGTGCAGTGTTGTGTGCTTAGGTCGGCTCCCCTGGGCCCTCTTCTCATGGATGGATGACTCCCGGGCCATGGAGAAGCCCCAGATTGGTGCAGAGGTTGCCTGTCCAGTAAGAGGAAGTCATTAGCTTTTGTGAAGTCAGGGAGCACAGGCACCCAGTGAAGAGCTCCAGAAAATATTCCCTGTCACTCTGCGGTAGAGCAGGGGAGGGGCCGTGACCCAGCTCAGCAGAGGCCTGTGGCTTTCTGGCTAATCGAGGTTCCAAGACAAAGACAGAGAGCAATCTGACCTGCCTTTTGCACAGGACTTTCCAGATCCGGGGTGGGGAGAGGGGAGAGAAGTACCTGATTTTGGAATTCCACTGACAACCTCTACATTCTCATTTAAGGGAAGAAAAGTTGTTTCAGCAATGAGAAACCCAGGAAGGACCTAATCTCTGAAAGAAGAATAGCTATTGAACTTGACTAAGTTAAGCTTAATGGAAAAACTTGTTTCTTCCATTGCAGACCAATGGGAGCATTGTCATAGCCTAACATCAGTCTGGGGATGGATGTTTGGGGGTCATTGCTTTGTTTTTTTAAAATACTGATTTATTTATGCGAGAGAGGGTAGTGGTGAGGGAGAGAAAAAGCAGACTCCGCGCTAAGTGAGCCCAATACGGACTTGATGCAGGGCTCGACATCAACCCTGAGATCATGACCTGAGCGGAAATCAAGAGTTGGATGCTTAACCGACTGAGCCACTCAGGCGCCCCTGAGGGTCATTGCTTTAAAAACACGTTCACCTATGTAACTTGTTTGAGAATAGTAGGAGCAGCAATGGGAGCGGAATTGTCCCAAGTTTGCTGTGATGGAAACTTGCTTTGAGATCAATTTGGGGGGGTTCATTCATATTTTTATAGTCTGCTAATATTTAATCTTGACATTGTAAAGATTAGGAGAAAAAATAGAACTTTACTACAGTAATAATGCCCATGACTAAGCCTGTCAGAGGTGCCTAAAACAAGATACAAAGGGTATAGAGTGGCAGGGAGTAAGAAGGGAGAAAGAAGTCTCCAGGCTTGTGCAGGCTTTGTGTGGGGAAGGAGGGACTGGGCCCTGAGGAAGGCAAAAACAGTGGGAAGTTTAAGGGAATCAGATTAGGCTCAACATTGGAAAGAAAGAATGATTAGAATGGACCAGGACCCTATGTAGTTTGTGGGTAGTGAGTTCATCACCAAGGGAGGTATTCAAATAGTAGAAGGAGCACTCGGTAGGAAAAGCTGTCTGGGGAGGTCACTCACTGGCCAAAGGGTAGACTAGATCGCTGGTTCTCCAAGTGTGGTTCCCTGGAGCAGCAGTGGCCCTGGGACTTTGCTAGACCTGAGAAGTCAGACCTATAGAATCAACACTCCAAGGGTAGGGCCTGGACAGTCGGTTTTAACAAGCCCTCCCTGTGGGGCTGATTCATGCTAAAGTTGAAGAGCTATGGACAAGATGAGTGGCTGCCAGGCTCTGATACTATGAACTCAGATCACTGGTTCACGGATAGGGTCTCTTCTGGGTTAAATCTAGTCAGAAAAGATTTTTTTTCCACTTCTGGCCATCCAGCCCTCCTCCCCTCCTGAGTACAGAGACCCTGACCCACACTGCTCAGGACATTGCATTGCAGAGGACCCCCAGCTCTGCTCCAGCCACATCCAGCCTATGCCCTAGACTTGCACGTCCAGTCCTGAAATGTGGCTAGTTAGAGACAGGCTCCAGGTATAGACCACGTGCTCAACTTCGGAGTCTTAGTATGGACAAGAATGTAAATTATCTCATTAAAAGTATCATAGTCTTGTATTGATGCCATGTGACAATATCTTGTACATGTTATAGCTAAAATATTACTCAAATTAATTTTGCCTGTTTTTACTTTTTAATGTGGCTACTAGAAAATGTACAATCACACATGTGGTTTGGATTTGTGGCTCATGCAGTATTTCTGTGGGACAGCTGGTCTAGCCATTCCCTCTATTGTCAAATTTTACCCTGAATCCCGCTTCCCTTTGACAGGTGCCAGGAGCCAACAGGCTGTGCATATAGTCTAGTTTGTGCCAGTGAGTCAGCAGCAGATCCCACGAGATGAAGCTGTGATCCATTCTCCTGGCCCCTGAGGATGCTCTCCCTATTACAGGAAGATGATCTGATGGGCACTTAAGCAGACCTTAAGGGAACACTTTTGTTTGGGGAGATGTGGGGCATCTTTTCATTAGTTCTCAAACTGCGACAGAAAGTTAGCTCTCACTTTAGAGCTCTTGGGTGGACAACGGGAACCTGGGTGCCTTGCCCACTGGCAGCTTCCTGCCCACTGCCCCCAGACCCATTCCCATTTCCCAGCCCAAGACTGGCCTTCTCTTGGGTCTGTCCTTGCCCTTCACTGCCCCTAGACCTCTATTCTCTCCATGTTTGCCAACTTCTGTTCCCCCTAACCCCTTCCTTCCTGGTAGGTGGCTTGGCCAGTAGGCTTTTCGTGATTTTTGGACTTGTCCTCTAGGGTGTGGCAGAACAGGGTCCTTAATACTAAGACAGTCTCCTAGCTCATGGTATTCTCTGTAAAACAGAAGAAGTGGCTGGTGCAGGCAACCAGGGGAGACAAGCACCCAGAATCCCGGGATGGTTTCTGCTCATTGCTAATCCCTAGTGATAAAAATGTTTGAATTTGTCCTAAATGCCCAATATTTGAGATCCGTCTCATGTTTTTAATGGCATCAGCTGTTTGCAGCTTCCTTGTCCTTCAGGACTCAACCCAGCTTCTCCTCCAAGAAAACTTCCAAAACCCGCCAGCCATGTCTCCCCCAAACCTGCCATGAGGGGACGGTGATGTTTCTTTTCTGCATCACCCGTCGGACTGTTAATTTTATCCTGCTTTGGATCAGTTCTCACCTTGGGGAAGGGATGCCACCATGTGTGCCCTGTAGACATCCAGAAATTACTTTGAAAACTACTTTTTACTCTCTAACATGGTAACCTTTGGAAAGTCTAGGAATTAAAGCTGAAGCTTCTGTCTAGTCCCAGATTAGTATTACATGTAGCATGTTGATCTCTCTGGAGCTAATGTGTCTCATGTGCTGTTAACTATTTTCCATGTTTTTCCAAGGCACCCATCCAAGTTTGACTTCTTAAAAGGAAGTTGGAGAAAAAGGGAACTGCAGTTGAAAACATGACCTCAGTTATCCCTGGAAGGGCCTATTCACATTTGGAAATGTTTCTTGTGTCATCAGCGTATTAGCATGATGCTGATTTGTGCACATGGACTTGACTCACAGTAGATGCTCCAAATATTTATCGATGTATTTGCTAAAGCCATTAAGTAAACAAAATTTTTCCGTTTAGCTTTAGTACATACTTACTTGAAGCTATTTAAAGAAAGGCCTCTGACGTTGCAAAACCACAATTTTTCCTGAGAACTACGTTGGAACTGCCAAACCCTGAGCAGACATAAATGGAGTACCTACTGTGTGTCTGAGGGTGCAGAGCCTCACTAGGAAGTCCCAGCGGGGAACAAAGACAGGCAGGGACACTGTGGATGCAGCGATGGAATTACATGTGTGGGGAAGTCTTGGGGCAAAGGAGAGGAGAGACACAGCTTTGTGGCTGGCATTGCAGGTGGCTGCTGTGGCCAGTCACGAAGGGCCGCTGGGGTCTGAAGCTGAGAGGGAGTTAGTTCCCTGGCTGACGAGGTGGAGGGTGAACCTGGAACATTCTGAGCATGCAGGCCTACACTGAGAACTGTCGGGGAGCAGGTAGACACAGGTGCCCTCACCCTGTCACGGCGGCTCGGTGCTGTGTGGTCAGCAGGACCGCAGG